GCCCAAAGGGGAGTCTTAAAAACGGCACTAAGAAAGCCCCGCCGGTTTCCTACCGATGCTCTATACGAGGAGGCTGGTGTACTAAGTGTCCGAAAATTGTATATAGTCAGGGTAATTTACTATATTCACAGCTCGGTAATAAACTCTGACGATTACGGCGAGCTTTCCAAAAGACGCTTATTTAGGTTGCCTCAGACTTGTACTGGCACTTCTTTTGCACACCGTTTCGGCATCTTTTTATTTACTTTCATTTATAATAAATTTGCAAATCTTTGTAATCTCAAAAACTGCACGGCCAGAGAAGCTAAAATAGCAACCACAAATCTGATTACCCATTGGAATTACTCGGAAACTGAAGCTGTACTAAGGGTTATTAAATAAACTACTTTTATAGTGATACACACCCACACACACACACACACACCCACCCACACACACACACACACACACACACACACACACACACACACACACACACTCTTTCACACGCACACACACTCACACGCACGCACACACACACACACTTTCACACGCACACACACACACACACAAACTCACACATTCTCACGTCTTAATATATCCACAACACCTACTCTTGTTTTGTTTTAAAATAATTTAGTTCTTAGTTTTGTTACTACCAAAAACTGTGTTTTTTCTTTTTTTTTTTTTTGTTCTTTTTGCCGTTCCTTTTCCATAGTTAACCGTTTAATTTCCCTTCAGGTCAGGCTTCGCCTAGTGATGGGAACAGTAAATGTATTTTTGTAACTTTAAAAATATGGAAATAAATAAAAAAATAAAAAATTATTTCTTAACGTGCACAATTTATGAAAATATTAATATTTAACATAAGATTAAAGTAATCTTTTATATCATGTACATTGCATTGGATTATGAGCGCAGCAAAGGACTAAAGTTCTCTTTTGATCCCTGAGCGAAGCGAGAGAATCAATCAGTACAAGACTAATAACCGTGTTTACTGACTTAGGGGTCATCCTAATTTGTTACCTAAATATTTAGGAATCACCCAAGGTGAAAACGTAGTTCACCAATGACTATGAACTACTTAATGGAATTAAGTAATGACTAAAGTTATGGCATACGTAATAAGGTGCCTAGCATTTGCGTTATGACAAATCACAAATGTGTTAAGAGACAAAAGAAAATTTGTTTATTTGGAATTAAACTAATCTGCTTAGTTGAATCGTAAGATTAGGCTTTTCCTATGAACTATGCTTAGTTCTAGGTTAGTAAAAACGGATGTAAGACAGGCTTTATTGCAGCGGTAAATAGTCTAATACTGCTTTTTACACTTTTTGCGAGATCATTAAAGAAAGTGCTACAAAAAAAAAATTTAAAATGTCAATTTATGCTTTCTACTTTCATTGGATTTTGTTAGATTTTAGATCCAATTTTATAAACTTTATCGTATTTCATTTCCAAGTTCCAAATGCAAATCTTATTATTTATTTCGTATACAATGTTTTCTCTCTCTGCATTCGCAAAGGAAAAAAAAAATCCTTTACTATTTTGTGACATAATTACCAATTGTCATGTATTATAATTGGACTTTGTCAAGCAGGAGGTATGATAAGTAATTTGCAGGCTAATAACAAATAAAATAAATCAATAAAATTCAGAATAACAAATAAATCTTTCCAGAGAGTGCAGTAAAAAGCTAACCACGGTTCTGATATATTTCACTCAACCCCGGGGGATTGTCAGAGAAATGCAAAAGTTATAATGTATGCTACGATTTGTGGAGTAACCAATGGTTTTAGGGATATTTATGTGTTGCGAGCATGTCATATGATAACTTTTTAGTATTCAGAAAAATGGAAGTGTTGATACCATCTATATAATTTTAGCAAGAACCGTTCAATGTTATGTGATATAATTACGTACTAGAAGATTGGTTTGAATTCTAACTTATACATATATATTTATCATTTAATAATTCCTATCATAATTTATTTCACTGTGATAGGTAGTTAAAAGTATTATATAAATAAATAACAAAGATTTTATTTTTACATTTACAGTGATATAATCTTATGTATTATCTCTTAAGGAAAAAAATATATAATGTAAACACCCTTGATGGTATATTATCGAGTTAACACCATAACCACCCAGAACCCGAGATAGCGTAAAAAATAATTCTGTTTTGTATAAACAAATATTTGTATCATATATTACAAACAGTTTAAAATGTGTTATTTCTATATTTTCAAAAACCTTTTCTAAATTATCGAGAACAATTGTTCTTACTATAGATTCCTATTATATAATCATCGAGATCCAGAGAATTAGTTATCGCAAAAATGCACGAAAGAAATCTTTTGTCGAATAAAATGTGGCTCAATATTCTCAGGACTATGATTGAATTTGAATTGATACGTGCAACAAAGATTATGGCTTTTTAAAGTATTGTATTAACCGATCGTGCTCAGTATAACTACTTATATACGTAATATTTTTATTGATAAAAAATGCTTGATTAAAAATCAAAAAGGATTTTTTTTTGTAAGATATAATGACAGCACAACAAATAGTTGTTGTTTTTAAAACTTCCAAAGAAATATACAAATATTTCTTCGACAGCGCAGCTATCAACAAGAGTTAACAATATAGAACAAAGAATACCGAGTGCTGTCAGCCACACTAAAATGTCAGCGGTTATTTAGTGACACATATTAAATTCCATATTCCTGACCCCGTTGAAATATTTCACACTTTTTCGATGCTGTAAGCTATACGATTTGAAGAGGACTGATATCAGAAACTCGAGTATTTGATATCGTGACACGAAACTGATAAAATTCTATTCCTTATAGACTATTAAAAAAATCACTATTCATTTTGTATTAATAATCAGTTTGTACACTTATTATAATTCAGGAATTTGAACAGCAGCGGAATTGGAAGGAAATGAAATATTTTTTATTTCCGTCAAAATAATTTTCAGTTTAATAATATCTCTAAACGGTGACGTTATGTTATTTTTGAAAGTAAATAGGGAACATGGTGTTGCTGTTTTCATATTTTTTTAAATGGTCCTTTTTCTTTTACGGTGATATGTTTACTACTTGTTGATATATTCGGTCATAATGTTGACATGTCAAAGAAAATCCATTTGGTTAAAAGGCTTTAGTATTAAAACATATAGATGCGGATCTGATTTTTCATTGTTCAGAAAGTGTCACTTTAAAAAATAATATCTTTATATAGTTTCTTTTATCACCTTATTTACTCTTTTATTAATAATAATGAAGATAAAACAACCAGGAGAATTGAGACATATAGGTTGGTTTTACCTTTGATTCAGAACAATTATGAGATTATCAGGACCAAGCAGTTACAAATCTCATCATACTCTCATCTGTAATTAAATAACCTGCGCAAAAGTGTGAAACTAAGTATCATAGTTGCCTAGACTTCACGTGCAATGCTTTTTTAATTACTGTTATTAGTTACCAAACTATACATATATCATAATACATTTTAAGAAAAAAAAATTGTTGATCTTCAGCTTCTTTTGCAATAAACACTAAAAACAATATTTCTCACTTGAAATGTCAATGGCTCACAGGGTATTTTCACAAATTAAATTAATATATTCACAAATATTCACAATATTTATATTTTGACTTGACAGTTGTCAACAGCAGACAATTTATATTGCCATATGAAAATCGAGTTTTTTTTTTTGTTATTTGTTACACCTATGAAAATAACACTAAAAATTTTATTAGCAAAGTAGTATCTGTAGAAAAATAATTGATTAACGTTCGGGATTTTATATACATGATTGAAATAAATGAGCGTTTCATTCTGAATGTTATTTTTCTTGGTACTAGTCTGTTATACATGACTGAATCTTCCAGTACAAAAATCTATGACCTCCAGGGACGAATGCTCCAGTTGAGGACCCTCGTCAACGTCACGCGGTAGCGCCCGTGACGACCCGGAGTGCCGTCGCAATAAATAAACTAAAACCATTACTACGCCTATTTGCAATTAATCCAGTTTTTTTGTTCAGACATTTTTCCTCTTGTCCCTCCATGTTTATTTGCTGCTTTCCTTTTTTGAGTTAAGATAATTCTACTATCATCATATTTAACTATTTATGTAAAAATGAGAAGTTATGTGTGAGATCGGCATTTAAAAAATATAAGATAGCAGTCATGTACTCCATAAGAATTTACCTTAGAAGTGTCTTTTGATATAAATAATTCAAAAAAAGGCTTAACACTAACAAAACTAGCTAGCTTAAATAAGTATGTATCACAGTTATTAGAATTCTATATGTCATATGATCGTAGGATTGCAATTGAAATGTATACAAATAAGTTGTTATTTTATCTTAGGCTTCTAAAACAGTGGGTAATTTTTAAGGCAGAACTACTAACTAAACTAAAAAGTTGTCGAAAACGACATTTTAACATTTATTATAACGACTAATCCTTGAGTGTTAAAAATGAATATAAAATTTACGTTAAAAACGAAATTTTTCTATGAAACATAGCAATTCATGACAACCATACGAAAGTATTACAAATCCGGTAGTATTCTAACAAAAGGACTTGGATCGATATAAATCAAATTGGGTTTGCGAATCGACGAAGTTGCCAAACCGAAAATGACTTGGCAAACTGACCTCTCCAGACTAACTTCGGTCAATTGCCAGCAAATTCGGCTATCCACCACTGAGTTAGCATGCTCAGATTGTTTTATACATTTGATTTGTTTTTTAATTACTATGGTTCATCAGCAAATCGTATTAAACCGTTGTTATTAGTAAATTCAAAATAATATTATGTGCACCTATAACGTTTCAATTTTGGATTAGCCATGAGGATGTTATTATATTATTTTACGACTCATATGACTAACGAGCTTTACGCTAAGGATTTTCAATTACGCTTATTTCTCTTATAAGGACAATAATAACATAGCTTCAGGCTGATGAGTTATTAACTGAGAAATGTACTTGAAACAATTTAGCTATCGATAAAGTATGGTTTATTAGTTTTCGAGTAACGCCTAAACACAGAATATGGATTACATTTATAATTAAAACTCTAATAAGAGCCAACAGAAAATCAGTGTCATTATTTTTATCGATATAAACATTAAATGAAATCGCTAAAGAGTTTAATTTTGTGGTCAAAAATCTTGTCATTAGTTGTCCTATATCTTAATATTCCTTTAAAATGTTAAGAAATATCGTATACATATAATTACTTATACACTAATTAGTCGCGAACGTTAACTCTAAAGTTGAGTTTTTAGGGAACTATAACAATTTATAACTTTAAAATAGAAAGAACATAATAACAGTCTTAGAATTTTGACTTTGATGCGTTGTATTATATGAGTCAATTTGTTCCTTAGATATAAGAATATAACCGTACTGCTTAAGCCTTGAACGAACTAAGGGAGTTTTGCGACCGCTGATATCTTTATATGCATAATACGGACTGATATTAAACCGGACAACGTGGCGTTTAGATAGTGGACATAAAAGGAATCTCGCACCGTTGTCGTACTACTCAATTTATTTTTATGATGGCGCTTTGCTCCTGTAACATGATTTTATCGTGTCTACTTTGAATGTGTTTGTGAGCTGTAACAATGTAAATTGTTTACACTAATGTCCAATGGATTGAAAATTTTATTAACATTACATAATATGACTATTTCAATCATTCGAGTTGCAAAGCAATATCAAATAAAACTTTCTCAAAAACACTTACGTATTTGATTCAGTAGAGTAATACAAGAAGCAACGAAATTCAGGATATCTCAATAGCCATTACTAATTTGCAATAGATGCAATAGCGATAACTTATTGTGAGCTAAACATATTACTATTATTAATTGGTAGAGTGTATTTGTGTGTAGTTTTTCACGTTTCAATTATGTTTTTTTTTGTATGAAGATAATTGAAAGGCTAAACAGACAGGTTGTTTTTACCACGAAAAACCATCTCACGACAAAGAACGATAATAGCTAATTAAAAACAACATCACGTACCTTACAAACTCTGACGAAAAATCAGCAGCTGCGTCACTAGGTTCATCCCAGCATGATGCTGTAGCATCGCTGAGAAATTGTGCTTGTGCTGACCATGCATCACATGCTCGTAACACTCTTCTAAGTGCACCAACTGTTAGCCGCACTGCCGCCCGTATGAATGCGCGGTCTATTGATAAAAAATTACGAAAAGGTAATGAGAATAAAAACAGCTGCAAAAAGTTAAATAAAGGTTTCTTTTAATCTTGCTTATACCAAAAATATCTAATAATAACAAATTATTACTCATCATTACTTATGGAATATAAAAATTTTTCGCTAAAAGAATTAAATAATATTATTTATAATAATAACATATTACATAAGTAACAAAAAGAAATAATGAAATTTTGAGATTAGTATCATTGATATCACAATGCTTTTTTATTAAAACTCTTTTATATTTCGATTCGATCTTATCAAACCTATTCTACAGAACAAGCCAGTTTTGATTGGTGTTGTGATAGAAGTACTCACCGATTTTCATTGGTTGAGGATGCAACGCCAATAGCCCCACTGGCAGCTTATCCATAATTACAGTTATATTATTTTCATCACTTCCTTCATCCATTGCTTCGTCATTATAATCTTCATAATCTGTTTTTGTTTGTCTAACACTATGCACTTTGGACATATGCACCGTGGGATTCATTAGGAAATCACTAATATCACTTGAAAATAATATACTATCTTTAATTGTTTTACTATTTTCGCTACTATACATGAATTCTCTTTTCATTTGAGAACTCTCTGTACTGTCAGTGTTTTCAATGTTTATACTATTTACATATTTATCAAAAGATTCATTATTCATTTTATCACTACTGTATCTATTACTATAACTAGATAGGAAAGACATTTTCCTTTTCTCAATTGATTTTTTTTCGACTTTAGAAGTTTCAACGCCTTTATTATATACAAAATTTCTTACAATTTCTGGACTAGTATTGCGACTACTATCAAATTTTTGACTAAAATTATTACTTAATAATTTGTTATTAACACTGTGCGCTTCCGACTTATTTATATTTCTACTAACACGACGAAAAACCGAATTAAACCGAATATTATTTATGCTACTTTCGACGCGTTTGCTTGATTCTTCTTGAGAGTTTATATCAAGCAATGTTGAATTGTTACGACTTCGTATATCGTCAGCTGAATTATTGTCTGCATCGTCTCGTTTACGACGTTCAACATGATCCTGTGCCATCTTTTCACGATCATCGATGAAGTTTTCTAAATCATCATAACCATCGTCTACATATTGTGTTTTGTTGATGACAGTGTGGAAGACATCAAGCTCTATTGAAGCATCTATCCATAACCAAAAGAAATGACCGTCAAGCATGTTGAGACGGCTTGCTTCCTTCATAACCAATTTTGCATATTGTATATCACAAATCAAGACAACGACACCACGAGTTAGTCTAGAAACTTCAGCGAGTCTTCTGCAAAAAGAGATATATTAAAAATTATTTAACATTAATTTAAAAACAAATATCGATAAATAAAATTACAAGTACCTGAAGAGAGCATGGCGGGTGTATTTGGAGGGTAGTGAAAGCCACTTAGGGTTTAGTGGATGAGCAGTAAGAATTGAAGAAAGATCCTTTCGTAGCGACAATGTTGAATAAATGTCTTCTTCTGCTAGTAAAGTAAAGGTATGCCAGTGGGTGTGCAATAGAGTCGCTCTAAAATAATAAAGAAATCTTTTTATAATATACCCAATAATGTTTTATCTTAGCTTTGATTTGTTATTTATTTCTCTCGAATAGTACTTTTATATGCCAAATATCTAACAAATGTACACACAACACCACAAAAGATTACCATAAAAAGACAAAATTTACACAAACGCTCATTGTGTAAGTCAGTTTTGGATAACCTGACGAGCTTTTGGGACAGTATATAATATAGAATTTTAATAATATTGTAATATAAAATTGCAATGGTGGGAATGAAGCAAATACCTCAGTGCATGTAGTGTTTCTCTAGCAGTAATCTCTAGTCGGATCTCAAAAGGAAGCAGGTCCTGTGAACAATATTTATTTATTAGTTATAAAACGTCCGACATAAAAGATTGCCTTGTCTAATAATAGTAACAATAATATCCCAAGTCCATTTTTTAAAAGCGTTATTAATAGTTCACGTCACCGTTTGCTCCACGTTAAAGCGAGTTATAAATGACCATCATTTTCCAAGACACCAACGACGCCTTCGCCTAGTCTCGCGATACGTGCAAAAAATACCCAGAATATTGCCTCAAAAAAAATCCGTCAAAACGAGAAATGTCCCACAGTTCCGTGATATTATGCACATCGTAAAATCTGATCCTTCTCACGCATAACAAATTCAGAAGTTCTTTCCTTGTTTCTACGCAAAGATATTTCTGTGGGATCGCTAAGACATGTTCACCTTATTATATTCCGTGCTCCAATTTCTGGCGCAATTTATTAAAAAATAACAAACCCGCAAATTGTGGCTATGTCGTCGTGAACAAAACAAGAAGTAGAAAACTCAAATTAAAATGTAAAACAACTTTGGTTGGGTATGTCTCTCGACAGCCATATAATATTTAAAGATAATTAAGTCAGTTATAGCCAAGCGATGTTATCTAAAATATAATTCAGTTGATTATGATTTGCTACGTGTCACACTGAGTAATATATTACGAAAACGTGTCAACGATGTTATTACAAAGCGTAACCGCGCTTGCCATCGGCTTGATATATGGGTCTAACTATTAATATTCGAAATAAACGAGTTTTATATCTAAATGGTGTTCTTTAAAGCTATATAATAAACTATTCTGAAATAATTAAACACTGTTATTTATTCATTATTTAACACTTTATTGCACAAATAAAAAGTAAAAATAAATACATTGCAAGGAACAAAAGAAAAAAAAAAAATTACATTTGTGCAATGGGCGGCCTTATCGCTGAACAGCGATTTCTTCCAGGCAACCTTTTGATTGATACTGGTGGCAGGTGATTGTGGGTCGTGCACAAAGTTAGGGAAAACATCTACTAAATATATAAAATGAAAAAAACAAATAATAATATATATATATACATATACGCAAATACATAAAAATAATAAAATAGATATACATGGGTAAAATACGCAGTAGCCAACATGAGCAGCAGATACCGCAAGCTATAAGAAGGAAGGATAGAGGATTAAGATTTTAAGAATAATGTCCACCAGACAGAAAATGCGCAAAAACTCTAGATTTAAATGAGTAGAGCGATTGTGAACGTCTGATATCTTCGGGCAAAGAATTCCACAATCGAGTCGCGTGTAACGTAAATGATTGGCTGTAGAATTTTGATCGGTTTTGAGGAACCGAGAGGCGAAGACTGTCTGATGAACGAAGAGGTAGGTCATGAGTGGACGATAAAAACTTGAACCGTTGTTTAAGATAAAAGGGGCATTTTGGATTGAACAACACAGAGTAGAGAAGGGACAGGATATGTAAATCTCTACGTTGCCGAATAGAGAGCCATTGGAGTTGTTGGCGAAATTCGGAGACATTATCGTATTTACGGAGCCCGAAAATAAATCGGATGGCAAGGTTTTGGAGGCGCTCCAGTTTACCAAAAAGATCAAAAGTAAGGTCAGGATAGCACGCATCAGCGTAGTCAAGGACAGGCAAAAGAAGGGATTGCGCTATGGATATTTTGGTAGCAGTGGGTAAAAAGTTCCGTAAACGCCTAAGGGATCCGACTGTAGCAAACATCTTTCTGCTGACTTCGGCAATCTGTGGACGCCATGAGAGCGTTTGGTCAAATAAAACTCCAAGATTACGCACTATATTTGAATAAGGAATCGGAGTACCCTCAAAGATCACCGATTGCAACTGACTCCACTTTATCCTATCCACGAAAGAGGCACTACCTATGATGATAGTTTGAGTTTTATCGGTGTTCACTTTTAAACCGAAAGATTTACTCCAGGTAGCAATACTTTCTAAATCGGTGTTTATAGTAAGGATTGCGTTATTTATATGGTCCAGTCGTTCCATGGAATAAATTTGAAGATCATCTGCGTACAGGTGGAAGGAAGAAGTAAGTTTGTGACTAATCGAATTAATAAAAATTGCGAATAATAAAGGAGATAGCACACCGCCTTGGGGTACGCCGGCAGACACCAAACACCATGATGAAAGAGATTCATCAAAACGTATGCGCTGTCGGCGCCCATGTAGATAACTACGAAACCAGTCAGTTACCGTTGGAGATATGTTTAAAGAACCGAGGATAGCCAACAAAATATCATAGTCAACAGTACTGAAAGCATTGCTGAAGTCTAGCAATGTCAACACTGTGAGCATTTGTTCCTCCATACCCGCGCGAATGTCGTCAGAGATTTTTACAAGAGCAGTGGTGGTACTGTGTCCAGGTTTAAATCCGGATTGGAGAGGATTAAGGAACTTATTGTGAACAAGAAAGTCATTCAACTGCCTGTAAATAAGACGCTCCAAAGCTTTGGATAGAAAAGGTAGGATGGCGATTGGACGAAAATCAGAGACTGAGGTGGGGTTTGGTTTTTTGGAAGAGGGATTATCAGCGCATCCTTCCATAAGTGGGGAAAAATACCTGATGATATAGATTTATTAAAAATAACAGTAATAATAGGGGTTAAAATGTCCAGAATAGGGAGTATCATATTGCGACTGATATCGTCATCACCCACAGCCGAAGAAGCGATAGCTCGTATATTTCTCTCAACATCACAATCGGTAAACTGACTAAAAACAAAAACTGGAAAATCAGGAGCAGGTAATAGTGAAAGTTGCGATAAGGTCTTCTCTTTGACTTTACTATCAAGATAAGAAGGATGTGAAAAATGATTATTTAGAAGATCAACATTAATATTATCTGGAATTTTATCTATTTTTGGCTTACCCACTCCCAAGGACCTAAGAAATTTCCATACTTTGGCTGGATCGCCGTTTTCTACTGATTTATGAATGTGGCGCCTTTGTGCATCCCTACACACCCTGTTGCAGCGATTTCTGATGATATTATATCGGTCTCGATTTTGGTCAGTCGGGGCACTTTTGAAGGTAGCCTTTGTTCGATTCTTCTTATGCATAAGGGTTTTGATGTCGTCAGTTAACCAAGGCGCCGGAAGATGCCTTACTTTGATAGATCGAACAGGAGCATGCACGTCGAAAAGACCAATCAAGATGTCGTTCAGCAGTTGCACTTGGTTGTCAACAGATGTTGCATTACCAATAACAGACCAATCGATCTTCTCGGCATCAGCACGGAGTTTGCCAATGTCCATACTACCAAAATTCCTCCGCAACAATACTCGAGACTTAGCCTTAGGGGTACGAATTTTGTAGGATAGATATATCAAATCGTTCATTTATTCTCGCATTTCAGTTTGTGTTTAGTTTAAATCGTACAAAATTAATTTATGACACATACATACGTATTTCTATGAAGATCTCACAACAGTATTATAAATTAAACTAGCTTTTACCATGAATCAAAGATCCCTTTAAATCATGTAGATACCCTATCAACCCTTTACGCCGATGGCTATCGAACGACGTCTCAAAACTACAGAAACGTAATTAAATCATTCTTGGTTACAGGATTCTAATTTAACTAGCTAGGCGATAGCCGATTTCACTAACAACTAAGCAAAACCTTATCTAAATATTTTTAGAAATTTCATCCGTTGTATAATCACCATACTGTTAATTTATAAATCCTAATTTGAAGAATAGAAATGACATAAGAAGAGATTCGAAGAATATGTAATATTTTACATTTGAATTTTGGAAGCCATGGCGTTTATATTTGTGCATAAGAATGGGTATAGAACGGTAATCACGGAACGATTTCAGATTTATTGGGCAGCTTTATCTTCGAAGTAGGTCAAGCAAAAACAATATGTTAGCCGGGAGAAGGCATGGTACGTGACTGAACTCAAAAATATATGACAACTACAAATTATATAAAGTACCTAACTATTCAAAACTTACTTGTCATAGGTAAAAAGAAAATGTGGTCATCCAATCCTACACCGAAAAAAACTTACTCAAAACGACAGTTATTATTTTTCTTTCTAAAGATTAATATATATTGTTTAATTTTACTTATTAAGTTTATAAAATTTAATTTGTTGTCAATATATTAATAGCTAACCGATATTTCAGATTACAAAGTGATTTTAAATAAACTTTGACCCTCTGCCGGCACGGATTGCGATCATGCTAGAAAGTTCAAATTGTATATTTTAATTAGGTTATAATATTAATAAAAATTGGGGGGCCATAGAATTCGAATATGTAAACAATATTATTATATTTAATCGATTTGCATTCACAATGCTATACTGGAAATTATATTTAATGAATAATAATGAAAAAATCCACCAACCCCAGGTACTCTGAGATGGGACTCGAACCCACGACTGTTCAGATTCCGGGAGAAATTCAGTTTTATCGGGTTGCAAACATTCTAGAAAGTTCAAATTAATTATTAGAGTAAGTTTTAACGTTCATAAAATATTTTGTGATATGCATTTCGAATATATATAAAATTTTTTTTTGATCATATATGGGACACCCATGATCCTTATGATGAAAAAACAATCCATATACATGATACATGATATGATATATGATACATGATTGTTGCAGTAAACAAAGCTCAACAACAAAAAACAGTTTTCTCTTTAAAACATATTAATAACAAGAAGCAATTGGATAAAAAAAAATTGCTTTCTGAATAATACTTTGGTTAGAAGTAACTACAATATTCATGATTATCATTATAAACCTGTTAATACCTAACATAATTATTCATTTACATAAGACCAGTGTGCGAGCCAATCCAGTAAGTCAGTCCAGTATTATAAAATTAGAAACCGTTCTATTTCACTGTTCTATGTCTCTAAGGATGAATAAAAAGGATCAATACGGTTCATCAGAATATGCGCCTGGAACCAACACCCTAAAGAGTCTTCCAACGTTTTAGATAGGGATTTAATATTTGGTAATCTTTACAACATCCCTCGTGTAGGTTGCTCGACTTCAATATAGCATACCAAAAACTAATATCGCTGTGCCATTAAGTCTCTCTGTATCATCAAAGTGCAATGTTTAATACATTCCATTCCATTTCAATACCTACAAGAAACCTTTGCTTCGTCCCGAAATATGAACACGAACGGTGAAAAATCTTACAACTACTAACTATTACTCCACATGTGTTTCATTCCTCTACGGAACATCCTCGGAAGTTGTTAGATCTTGTAGTGTCTAACGACTCCTGGGGATGCTCCTTAGAGAAGTGATACTTCCGCAAACACTTGACTCTGATATTTGTTTAAGTTTTCTCATTGTAATCGACTTTAAAAATGAAAAAATCACTTAATTATTTTTTTGTTTATTCGACTATATTTTGGAGCAGACCTTATTAAAATTTTGTAGAAATGTGTTCGATAGTTTAGTTTTTAACCGTCTTCAAAATCGAAAATCAGACGTTATATATTCAATGATGAAGTATTTTTTAATATGCTCCCGATATATTCGTCAATTGTTGACCAATTTTCAAAATTCTTTTTTGTATCAAGAGCTTGATGGATCGAGTTGGTGGTGGATGGAGATGGTTCCGTTTAAATTTCATCGAAATCCAATAAGTTGTTTACATTTTATAACAATACAAAATACCTTCTTCATATAAGAATTTAGATCTGTAATTTTATTTTATTATTCTAATATGATTCATCGAAACTTTATGTAAAGCACATCTCACGCCATAAATATATAACGTGGGTCGTACCCTCGCCACTTAGGCAAGTATACAACTTTTTCACATTATTGTAAAGGGCTACTTCAGTGAGGTTCTAACCTTATTTTATTCAGTAGTTTGGCATTGCATTATAATATTACAATGGTCAAATGCTTAAGAGATATTAAGAAACGTTATTTATAAGAAACAACACTGAACAAAAGTCACTCTTCTATAGAGTGACTGAAATATAAAAGTGATTCCTTCACAAAGCTTGTGAAGGAATCACTTTTATTGTATCGAAAATAGATTTTGCAATTCTGGGTCCAAAATTTGTGCAGATGACACGACTTTTCATAAAATAGTTTATGTAGTCATAGGAGGTATCTACACGCCGAGGCTTACTAGATAAGAATAGGATATAAAAATGGTATTTACGGTAAATGTATACTTACGTTTGCAATTGTGTAAGAGAGATGCAGATGCGAGGGTGAAGCGCGCAGTACCGGAACGCCGGCGCGGGTAGCTGCAGATACGACGGCAGCAGCGGCAGTGCCCCCACCACACACGAGCAGCGCCGCAACACGTCGGCCCCCGAGTGCGGAGCACGTCTGTTCTAGCACCCGCGCGCTGAACCTGCACATGACAAAATCAGAATTATTTCTTGCTAAGTGGTCTGCACGCCGGTTTCAATATGTCGCTGTCTGAGGTTTTGTCACAGAACATAGAGGGTGCTATTCTCGGTCGGACACTGTAGAAAATGAACTTTTTACTCATTTTCTAGGGTCTGAGTGCCTTTGCCGACTCAGATACTGCATAATCGAGGGCATTAAATACACCTTCTAGTCTTTGACGAATAATAAATGCATTCTAGCACGCTTAGCAGAGTGAGATATTGGTGTAGGAGAGAAAAGTGACATTTCGGCGTACAAAACGTTTCCCGAGGTCATAATACTACGGGGGCATTTTTAATCTACGTAATACACTTAAATTATTTATTATTTCATAAATAAAAGTTTTTGACGTTAGAAAATTTATGAGACGGAAAACTTCGAAGGGCTATTACTGAAAATACATCACTGCCAGCAGAATATTGCATTGCATTTTATTTAGCCCGTCCCACCATTTCATATATTGAGTATGAAACTGATTGCATCTATAATATTTATGAAAACTACTACCGGAATGGGTAAAATTAAACTTAATCGTTTAACTCGCGCAAACGAACATACAATCGCGAAATATTATCTATCTATGATCGATACTCGGAATGCGAGAGTGGTGCTTTTCAAAAGTGGAAATATTGCTTAACGTACAAACAGTAAATTTATTCATTTTTACTCATAAATATATCTTTATTAGACATAAATATTCTTATAAAATGATAAGTGAGCTCAGTGAACTAGCAAAATATTTATTTTATTGCAAATTAATTTACACATTTAAAATTGAGCAAACGATTTTTTTTTTCTTTAGTTCGAGTAGAATACTACCATAATATAAAGCTTAATTGAACTAAATTACTACGTAGTTGGAAATAATAGTTTTAGTTCGGTTCGTTATTATCCGTCCAATTATTCATCTGAAGGGTATGTTCCAAATGTCATAATAATAATTTGAGTTATTACATTATAAATGAATACGGGAAATACCCATACAGAAAGGTGCGTATTTCAAAAGGCTTAAAATAATCTTACACTTGATAGGGATAATTTAATATAATTCTATACCTATACGCTTATTATAAAATTCCATACATTAATTACATGACATCTTAATTGGGTTTATTTTATCTGGATAGCTTAGTGGTTAGAGCAGTCGCCCAGAATGTGAATGGTCATAAGTTCGAGTCCCATCTCAGAGTGACAAGAACAAAGTGGATTTTTAAGTATTTTTCATTAAGAGTATAAGATAGGTATATATTCTAAATAAGTAGTGAAATATTGCTACGATATTATTATATCTTTACATTCATTCGGTTACCGGCGCATTAATCAACCCAAATGGCTCAATTACAAACCACAATCGGATCTCTAGGATCATTTGCACGTCGGAACTTCGTCCCATTTACAAGGGACAAGTTACGGCTTGATCTAAATATTAATTAATTAAATATTTAAGTGAGAATACAACTTGAAATTTTTAAGCAAATGTTATTAACTACGATGGAATCTCAAATGATACTGTGGTATTTTAAATTTTTATGTTGATATGAGATTTCCATTCAAAATATTCATTATTCTAAATTTCTAACATTCAATATTAAAAAAAATAATTCTTATATGTTCTTACGTATTATATTTGAAAAGTTTCTAATTTTTTTAATCATTTTGTCATGCTAATAATTTTAGCGTAACTGTAATTCAGATAAAAAGAGAACAAAGTATTCGTGTGCAAATCACATTAATTATTCTCTAGATACTTAAAAATTGGAGAATGGATTATTTATGAGCCTCAAGGGGTATTAACGGTTAGTACGGCCTTTTACGGTGTTGTTTTTTTGTATCTTTGCATTTGAATAATTATTTCACTGCCAAATACATAATTAGCTTGTAAATTTAACAACCGACATAAGTGACAACGTATTGATACGTACATTATAAGTATATGATGTAATAATATACCCAGAAAATAATGATATTCAGAGTTACACAAGGGTAAATTTTTCGTACAATTTTGCATTGTTTATAATTTTTTTTTTAGATTTTATTGTAATAAAAAATAGTTAAAAAAGCTTTATGTATATTTACATGAAATCTACTATCAGCTTTCAGATACAGGCATGATAAAGTACCAACATGTATATATATATATATATTTCTTGTATCTCCGATGTTAGCGGGGTAAAAAGAAAAAAAAAATAAGAGAAAATAATTAACGGTAGTAAACACAATATAAAATTTTGCGTGCAGACGTCCATTAAGGTTTAATGACGTCTTTTAGCTCTAATGAATGTCAAATTTGTATGGGTAATGTCGCCTTAAACTAGTGAAATATTTAATGGAAACTTGTGCAACAGGCTGTTAGTGAATTAAATTTTAATAAAAAATAAAATCTAATATAATAAAAAATAAATTAAAATCTATAATTGGCTACTGAAATTTATTTCATTAGTAAAGCATACGCTAATTATTAAAAACAAAATATAAACGCAACTTGTTTTTAATTAAAACATATACTGTATGCTTAATCAAACACCCTTATTCTTAAGATATAGGTTACTTCATAACCACAAGTTGGTCAGTCACAATTCTCGCAATCAACTTGACGTCGTATGCCTTTTCAAATCTTAATTATTACATTTAAAGTATTTCTTAAGTGAATTCCCAATAATAATGTCTACGAAACGTGAGTATCCTAAAATATGGAGAGAATTCGAAAGAACAGTGGATGATGGAACATTAAAATTCGTAATAGAAGATATCCCCGAAGCCATGTGGATCACTGCTGTAGAGTTTATGTTGGGGAATTATATCAGAGAAGATATCTGGTGGAAAATGGCGGGTAAGTTTATTATGTTACTTCTGCCCTATTAAAAAGGAAACGACCCCCTAAACATCCCATATCTTGTTAGAAGGAAACAGCGATCTTGTAACGCGGTAAATGGCTGGCTTGCCATTAGATTTCTATCCGTATAGTAGAAATAATATATATTTTATTAGAGAAATAAAAACAAAGAAACAGATCGGTAATTTTGAAAATAAAACATAATTATTATTTATTTTTAATATACATATCTGTAAATTCTTTCCGAGCCTTTGAACACTATCATTCAATTTTTATTTTAATAACGACCTATCAAAAATTTACTAAAATAAATAGCTTATATAGCTAGAACCGTTTTTAACCACTTTTTCGAGGTGTGTGATACGATTAAATAAAACCTACTTCAAAATGTAACTAAGCGTTATTTGATTGAACCTCTACTGGGTTCTAGCGCTATAATTGACGCTGTTCAACGCTGATTTTTTTAAGTATTGACACACATTAGTCTTATTAAGAACTGTTATTTAAAAGTAAGAAAAAAAATGGCAAGAACCAGACCCGCAGGGCACCTATGTCCCCATACTTAAATATTCAAATCCCTATTGATTTCTTTTATTTTCACTCGTACTATCCATTAAATGAAACAACTTTTAACGGTTTCATCGGTTTTATGTGAACACAGAACCTGTTAACTATTCGAAACGTCATAAAAGAAAATACAAACGCGATGGAACCGTTTAAAGTTGTTTCATTTAATTAAAATCCCTCTCAACTTAAACTAACGTTCCCTATAAAACTCGTCCAAGATATTAAGTTCAAATTAATCTATCAAGCATACCATTCACCATTACATTTCACCAGCAAATGTTAACACTAAATTATCTCTGTCGAGATACACGAATTCCATTACTAATTCCTTTTCCCAAACCAATGCGATAGAACTTAACAAACATTAATCAAAAGGAAACTAATCTGTGCGTAGGCATTTTTTGCAATTAGAGCATTCCCATCTCATGTCGGCGAACTCTTTCCTACGCAAGAAAATGCTCAAGTCATTAGGCCTTCTCGGGGGGGAGAATCCCGCACCCAATTATGCTGGGAGCAGGGCTGGTACCTCAAATGTGGTATCATTAAAGGGTCACCCTTTCCGCACTAGCAAATTACAGCTCCATTACCCTCCTGAACGTTGAATATGTAATATATAATCGTTACATGACAATTCTCAGCGCCGTGAGTAGATGACGTCTTAACTTTTATATAAATACAATAAGTTTTTCAGTTGGCAAATTTAATCGTATCCAAGACAAGTAATGCTATACAAATTGTGCGTGTAACCGTGTTTCATTATAAACAAAAGAGACACAAATCAAAAATGGCTAAAATCACTTTTATTATCTTCCATATAAGAGATGATTTAACAAATACACCGATCAAAATTTACCTCTTATGCATGATATTACATGTATATTTTTTTTAGGCCCTTTTGTTTATAAGCAGCAATTTGTGAGAATCTGTAATTTGTGAGAACTTCATTATCATCTTTGTTTGTTAATTGTCTTCCTGGAATAAATAAATAATGACAATTTTATTTTTCTCCAATCAGTAAAACCGTAACATCCCCTTTTATTAGCATTAAAAGCTTTATAACAGATGTGTTAAAAGCATATTTTTACAAAAACACAATATGCAAATCTTGAAATTAACTTTGAATTTTATTGCCCATTTCATACCAGTCGTTTGTTATAAATTCCTTTTTATTTTCTGTTTAAATCAACAGCTGAAATTATTACGACGTATTTAAAAAGTACTTTAAACATCCTAACAGAACTAGAGAATATGGATACCGCATTCCTAAACGTACCAGAGATGCTTCGAAATGAAATCGTGTTCTCCGATGTGATTCAGAGCTATTTAATTTTAATGAATGTGTAATTAATCAATCTGATTGGCAGGCACAGCGAAGGATTTAGAGGCCGTGCAAGAATACAGAGTGCTTTTGACATCGATAATTAAACAGAAAATGAGTTTGGCATGTTTCTTAGCGGAAGGAGATGGATCAGGACACACGCTCGTCGGAGTTAACTTATGCTTGCCGCAGGAGAAGGGATGCTTCGTCGATCATGCCCCGGTATTGTCTAAGCTATTGATCAATGTTTTACCTATAATCCACGATAAATAAGGCATACTAGATAATACCACATTACTACGACTTAAACTTAAATGTGATAGTGTTACAAAGATCTAAAAAGATTATACAAAACATAATAATAATCGGCATTAAAATATCTTTATTGCAAAACGCTTGAATAAATTCACCAGCCCGAGATATACAGGTACTCCAACCCATAACCTTCTGAAAACTGAGCGACTGCTCTAACCATTGAGATACCCGACGCGTAATATAAAACTAACAAACTTCGAAGCTTTTAAAGATATAAACAACTATATTCACGTAAAGCTAGATCGTTGAAGTTTTCCAATTAGATGGGAAGTTTGGGCAATTAATTAGAATGTACTAGTATACATACACCTTAATTTTACATTAAAATGTAAGATATTATAATCAGGAAAAATTTCTCTAATTACAAATCGTTTAAAAGTTTACGAGCCATTGGTTAAAAATAATTTTTGAAACTGTCGTGCAAAATGTCTTCATCTGACTATGTTAATCTTATTGTATGTCCTGTTAATTTTGTCCTAATTTATCTTTCCTGCGTACACACTTAAGACCATCTAGGGTAAAATGTTTAGATTCAGCTCACGTGTCTAGTTTAAAACTGTGATACTGGCATTATTACTTTAAAACCCGCAGCCAGATTCTTAACTCCGACTTATGTATATAGGAAAAGTAACGATAACCACTAATACGAGTCTGAGGCCATAAAAAATCTTATGTAGCTAGCTGTCTGTAAATCGTTCTACTGCATTTGTTTTATATTTTTTGAATCATCTCCTCTAGTAAGATTAAAACTTAATTTTGTAATCTTAAATTTTATTATACATTACCGTCTTGCAACGTAAGATATTTTTTCAAAAATTTCTTCATAACTGTTATAGCTACAACATTTTAGGTTCCATTTCGTTACCCGCACCATTATTCGCTATCCTTGGATCCATTTCCATTTATTCCCTCGATTTTATCTGTCCGATGTCGACCCAGATTTCACCCTTCGTATAATTTTGTTGCTACCTATATAATTTTTATTTAATGATTATTTACTTAATGTTAATTTAAATAAATCTTTCTCTTACGTCGTGATAACTTTGTACATTATGCTGAGGTTTTTAACGAAAAACAATAATAAAAAAGCAACCGCGTCATATTGAATTCAATTCAACGATCTTTCGCTAACTAGGCCACTTATTTTTGAACCGATATTTAGATAAACAGCCTTAACAAACAAAACACATATTTGTTTATACTTGTATGTTATTTTTAAATAAAAAAAAATAAAGTATATTATTTAAAAAAAAAAAAAAAATAGTTCGAGTTCCATCCAGACTTAACAGAACTGATGAATTTTTCTGCCACTTGTCACCTTTTCGCTACTATAGAGCGTATCTTCATCAATGTTCAAGCAATCCACCCAAACAGCCGTAAGAAATATTTTAAACTTTCGATAAAGATGAAAATTAGTCCTAACTATTATATTTGATCATTCTTGCATTCACAATGCTATACTGGAAAATATTCTGGTCACTGAAACGGGATTCAAACCCACGACCTTTCACAATCCGATTTCATTAGCGCTACAAGCTTTTCAAGTTAATTACCGTTAGAGAAAATTTTTATTATAAGTAGTTTAACATTATGAAGTTGTCTTGCATAAAATTATATTATTTAGTGCGCACACATAAAAGGTTTTTTTATTTATATATATATATATATATATATATCGTATATATATATTTAGCATAGTATCTGTATCGCAAAGTGTTTTTCCTGTTAATTTTATATATGTTATTGTTCCCATAAACGGATCTAAAAAGCCCAAACACGATGCAGTTGCCTCATTTCATCATTAAGTTCCTAACCACCTTCCTACTTCATCATCATATATAGCTTACTGACACCATGATATTGTATTGTCATCTGACTTACATTTTTATTAAATATTTTGAGAAATGAGTCAAATTTGGGTTCCAAGATTTGCACACAAGCTTTTAAAATGCAACACCATTATAAAAAAAAAATTACCATATTAAAAAAAATATATAACTTTAATACGAGTAGATGCTCGTGTTACAGTTATATTCTTTTTATAATGGTATTGAATCATAATAAAAAGGCATGCATTGAAAAAATTGAGAAATGAGGTCTTATACCTAAAAAACTAATACTTGCTTCAGAATAGGGTGCAGGGACGGGGAAAATATATTATTGCCGACTGTTGTATGTTTATAAATGAACAAAACAACTTTGTCGGTCTTTTTATATAACCGTTTTCATATATTTATTTGAATTTTTGTCTTTTGTTACTGCTAATGCTGCTTATCTTCCATCTTGTGTCAGTATTTTTAAATATAACATGTTTCTCGTCGATTTACCTTTGATTTAATTAAGTATACAGTCTATGTGTGAATCTATTGATACCATAATATAAAAATTAATTATCACTTTGCTAAAATAAATTATGCCACACAAAACTTCCATGAGTCAAAATAAAATATTTATTTATTCTTACTCATATCATAATAGATTATACAATAATTAATATAATAAAATAACACAGACTTCATTAATATCGACTGAATATAAAATTATTATCAAATAATTAAACTAAGGATAATTTTCTTTAAGACATTAAATAAGTCACAGTTGTTAAAAGACAAAGTAATTCATTATTTCTGTTTTTTCTACACTCCAATTATTCTATTTCATTTCAAAATACGAATTAACTAAATAACATAGTTTGTAGCTTCTTCTCGTTTAAAATAATTGTAGCTTATTATTATTGTAAATAAGATACAGCATCCTAAACGAATGCTGTTACAAAAATATATTTAATGTATTTTACAGCCTAAAACAAAGGCTGGCTTGCTGTCACTGCGAATGTTTGCGGAGGCCATGAAAGTGACAGCGATTTATGATAAATACAAAGCGAATAAATATCTCATGGGAGCAGGCCTTTCTGTTAAACCAGACTACAGAAGGCTGGGTATAGCTGTGGAGTTACTTAAGGCCAGGTAATATTAATTTATATGGAAATCTTTATTTTAACTGTCTAATAAGTTTGTATTTTTGTTGTTTTCGTGTTGACCAAATTTGATAAAAATATAGTTGTCGCTATACAAGAAAAAATGCAGTCAGTATACAAAATAATAATAATATAATCATGATTTTTTTATGTTCTTAACCTAGCAACAAAATAATACAAAGCATTGCGCATATATGTTGCCACTGCTTCCTGTTTAGATAGTTTGGCAAAAAATTTGAGTAAAAGTTTTACGTTAACAACTCTCGTGATTTCACCAATTTCTAAAAAATAGTAATCGCATAGTTCTGAGTCCAAAAAAAATAAGTGAGAAATAAGGGAGTGTATATTATGCAGAGGTAAGTTATTTTTTTATATTACTGTAGTAATAGTATTAGAAATCGTCATTTTATCTATGTGCCAGATACGGTACATTGAGCTTTCGTGCTCGTTTTACTATTTCGTACTTACGCCAAATAATTACTATTATTTTATTGTCTTTATAGATTATGTCGCGAAGAGGATTGTGTAGTGACGAAATTGAAGATTTCTTGAATATCCCTTCTGGGAGTGAACATGAGGAGGATTTTCTGACGCTGGAAGTTACAGTTATTCCAAAAGCTGATATCGAAATCACTTAGCGACAAGGCAACTTCATTGCCGCCGCAAAGACTATCTTTGTCTCCTGCCAACGAGGACGTTCATGTTGTGAAGGCCTGAAATATTAGACCTGCAGCCTAGCACATCAGGGACAACTACAAGTACCATAACACAATTACGGGCATTTAGGGGATCATCAACTAAAACACTTGGTTCTACGTCTGTGGCTATAAGAAATAAAAGGAGATTCTTTTGGAGAAAAATAAATTTTCATTCACCTCATTTTCCGTTTACTGAAGACACAAGTTTACATTCACCAATTATACACTTTGAAACACCCCTTCGATATTTTTTGTGGTTGAGACTATTATATCATCTTCTTGATATTTCTTTGATCAATAGCTGGTTATTGTACGAAAGAGTTGGGGAACAGAATAATATGCGAGTTCCACTAAAACAAAAGAAGTTCAAATTTGAGGTAGGCAAAAGTTTATGTATGTTTGGGCTTCTGCGTCTGAAGAAATTGAGAAGAAAAGAAAGAAGCCCAATACTGCAATCCTACCTCCTCGTGATGCTAACATTGGAGGCGACAAATAAAATAGTGAGTCTTTTGTTCCCTGTGTTTTCTTTATTGAAAACATTTATCATCAAAATATTACAGTCGATTTTTTATTGTTGAAAAAAAATAAAGTCAATCCATTGTTTTTATATACATTTATATACATTAAAGTAGTAATATATTTCGTCAGGTAAACATGGACTGGATAAATTGCTGAAAAAACTGATAGTTATATCAAGGCATATTATTGTACCCCACCTTCCTCTACATATTTTTACATAAAATTCCATAAAAACTGTGTATTCTGCATTTACTGATCTATGTCTCGAATTAAAATATAAATATCAGTATTGTGTATATAGATGCGTAGAAAAATGCAGAGTGTCATTGTACAAGAGGCAAATAATTATTAATTAACGTAGTTAAATTTTTTCTCAATTCTATTGTAATATTTGAAATACTTAAAACATTTCTTTAGTAAGTAACAACATTTTCCATTATAGGATAATTTAATATCTTTTATCCAGTTATTTAGTAAAGGAACATTCTGAAACACGAGAACAGCAACAAAGTAGACAACAGTTTCATAATTGGAATTAAGACACCGCTTGCCGAACAAAAGAAAACTTTGCTCTGATTGAATTTAAGATGGATTTGCCGTCTGTTAAAATAATATTTACCTTATTATGATAAATAGTAGTCTTTGTATTTGAAATTATACACGTTATTAGTGAAATAAATTCTCAACTTTAATAAAAGAAAAACAATGTGAAAAGTTTTATATTTACCTAAGAACATAAATACAAAATATTTTGTACCTTTTATACTTAATAATAACTGTTAAATTTATTGATAATATGAAAATTTTGCATAATTTTAGTATGTCCTATAGATACCATTTTATTATAATAATTAAAAGTATGTGATGTATGAACTATTAAATATAGGTTCTGCTTGCAACTGCGCGTGAAATGCATTGAGAATTTATAAGGACTTAAGAAAAATTGGGACAGTTTTCCAAATACATATTTGTAGACTTACACACGGTTTATGAATTGAGTATTTAAAGTTAAGCACGTCTCAAACTGTACTTAAACGGAACTTTAACAGGTTTTGTTTCTTATTTTAGTGATGATAAAAACTTCTTTTCAATTAAAAAACCAGTCCTATACTATAATAATTACTTTCATACTAATATTATTAATAGGAAATTTTAGTTTTTTTTCATTCATTAACGTCGCTTCAGGGGTCGGTTATATGTGTAGGCGTAGAGCGACATAAATCACTTTTTTATATTGTAAAAAATCGTTAGTTATTTTCTTTCTACGATTTAAGCATAACCACTAATGAGCTAGTACAATATTTTAACTCAGAAAAATTAGAGTATCATTTGAGTAATAAATGAACAATTATAGATGCATACTACTTCATTTTTCGTATTTAGTTATATTATTCAGTAAACCATTTACCATTTCAGGGTAGAGCTGTCAAAGACGTTGGGCTTTATGGTGACAGGAGGCATATTCACTAGTGCCCCTTCTCAACGTGTTGCCGAAAAAGCCGGCATGGAATGCCTCTACCAAGTCACGTACAAGAAGTTTGGGAAACAGTGCAATATTGTATTCGATACCGAAACTGAATACCTTAAGATATTTGGAGTTAGCACTAGTACATGAAATAATGATTGGCGTTATTAATAAAATAAGGGGACGAATATTAATCTCAAGTTTATCAACGAAATAAGTTAAATATCTTTTTTATTATAATGTATAAATATAATAACATTATCACTTTACATATTTTAACCAGAGTGGGTTAACGTATTGTAAAAAAAATTCGTCAACATAGGATTTATAGTTCACAAAATATAATCGTTTTCATTTTTACATTGTATTGCATTTCGAATGCCAATGTAGTTACTAGAATGTGATGAGTATCTCGTAAAGGATCCTAAAAAGGTCCAAATATGGCTACCTTGAAATATATGGTACCTCTATAGTAACTTTAATAGATGTTCTTTCATAGTGATCGGTTTATAATCAAATTCTAGCGAAGTTTTAGTTGGGAAAAGAAAAATATTTCGTCGTTGAAATCATATTTTAGGCAAATTACTCGTACTTGATTCGTTTGATACTTAAGCAACAAAGAAATTGATATAGATTAAATAACACCACATGCGGATGTAATGGAAAAACTGTTTGTTTGTCGAGGGGTAAATCAGACACATAAAAGAAAAGCTTAAAGGAAACCAATAAATAAAACAATATTATAACCAAGTATGAAAAAAAATATTTCTCAAGTCAAAAAAGGTCAGATATCTTTTGAATACAATAATCCAGAAAAACAAACGGCGAACAGCGATAAGCTGCTACATAGGATTTTTTATCCCTCCCTTGAGAGCTCTGTAATGGGTAATAATTTATTCTCCCTAAACCCCATAACAGGTACAGTTAAATTTGATACTTCTGTAGATAATTGTCTTAAGTTAATGTTAGCTGGGTGTCTTTAAGTTGTGATATATTACAACCGTTAACATCAACAGTTTGCGATGATACATAAGTTAGTTGCTAGCTTCAGCAATAAATTTAGAATCAGAATTTTAGACATTTGGAATTGTAAATGACATTAGATCTAGAAAAATTTTTGAAAGATTATTAAATGTCCTAAGCGAAAATCTATTATTTATTCTTTCCTTTTCAAGGATTTAAATTATGTAACTACTTGTGAACTCAAAGAGACTACCCCTCAAGAAGAGTCGCTCTACCAAGTCACATTAAGTAAATTTGTTCCAGCATTTGTCGTCACTCAAGTTTCACAGAAAACATCATTCTAAGTGAGATTTTATTTCATCAATATTTACTACGGCACCCGCTCATATTGTCATTCCAAAGTTGTCTACAATAAATATAGAAAATACCAATTTGCATTTGATTAATTCATTGAATTAATATAATAAGCTTATTAATTCATTGAGCTGTTTTATAGAAAAGATCTAGATATTGACTAAACTGCTCCCCGATTTCCCTTTCAGATTTGAACGGCAATGCGCTTGGTGGGTGGTTCCGTCTGTTTAGCAACAATTATACCAAAGCTAATTTACTCTCAATAACAAAACGGTAATCTTATTACAACCAGACTTAATTTTTCACATTACATAAAAAAATATGATTTCAGTTATTTATTACTGAAATCATCCTTGAATAGGGAAAGAAACGTTATTACTTACTTTTCATCTTCTGGCAATTCGATGTAAAGAGGGAGTAGTGTGATATTGCGGAGATACAACGGATAGTCGCCGGCAAGGTACGTCTGCGAGATCTCTGTCAGCGAGCGGTTGAACGCGAGCACGACGGCGGCGGCAGAGGGCGGTGCCGCGATGCCGACGTAGAACGCGGTGCGCGCGTCCGCTTGCAGCACGCGCAACTCGCGCGCCACCGCCGCCAGCACGCACGCGCACCACGCGGCGCACACGGCCAACGCGCGCGCGCGCCCGCGCATCTCGCCGCGCCGCGCCGGCCTCACCGCCGCCCGCGCCCCTCCCTCCCCCCGCACCGCGCCGCCATCGCACACGCTTTACCAACACCATCCACGCTCAACGCCCCGCCCCCCGCCCTTTATTAACTATCATACTCATCTATTTGTAAAATTCTTCACTGTTATTATTATTATTATAATAAAATCACAAAATTGTTACAATAAACCAAATGGACGGTAACGATACTATGAAACTTTTAAACCGGATACCTATACTGCTTGCTTATCTGTAACAAAGAAAGATATCGATATAAGTACGCTGAAATTTTACTTACAGAAATGGATTAGGAGATGTATAGTTTCTACAAAATGGCACACTGCTAAATTGCACACATGGCATGAATTTCACATCCCGATTCTCACTTAAGAGTCATTCATAGTGAACTCTCGTCAGATTAGCGAGGTGTGTGTGGTTTTATAAAAATCCTATAGTTTTATAAAACTATTTTTATAAAGTTTTATAAAACTATTTTTATAAAGTTTTATAAAACTATTTCGTAATGCTATGGTCAAGATCGAAAACGGAATGCTGAAGAAAATCAACCAAAACTTGAGCAAAACGGATCTTGACGATACAATTTTCAATAATCAAAACTTATTGAAAAGTTTTTTTAATGATATCCATCATTACGACAATCACGAAACAAACATCAAATAATTATCTTATCTTAATTATAAGTAAATGAATTCATTTTTATATTAAATAATTAGTTATAAAAAAAAAACAAAAAATAACATAAAAACATTGTTTTTTAATATTAATTTACATTTTTTTATTCATTCTTTATCTTCTCTTTCGAGTCATAATTTATTTAACAGGGAGGCTCACTTGTCGCTACATAACCTATTTATCCTCACAAAAAGCCCGTTTAGTTCACGTAGCTTATTAATTATTTAGGACGCACTCACTCACTGAAGTAAGATAAACCATGGAAAGACTCAAGTTGATAATAAAGTCGGTAAAATAAGTACACGTTCGTTGAAATACACATGAAAATCTGAATGTTTTATTTTATAGCTTCCTATTTATTTTCTCAAAGGTAAGGTGATTTTTAAACTCTTTCTTGTCAATTCCTATGACTTCAGTTTATTTTTTTTTTCTATTATCAGAGCCGAAAACATGTTATTTTTTTGCATTCAGCTTATGTATTAACTAGTTTCTTAGCTTTTAGTCTTAGCTTTTAGAGGTATTACTAATAGAGTTAAGAACAAAATAGGTCACCTGTAAACATAAATGACCTTTGATAAGCAAGAGAAATGATATTGTGTCACCCTGTAGAATTTCATTTTCTCTTGATAATATTAGCACATTAAGTATAAATGATAGCTTGTATTACTTCTAAGTACCTATTACTATCACTTTTAAGTTTAAACACAGTTACAAGGAAACCCTTGTCAAAACACTTGACAATGCTAATTGAAAATCACTCGTAAATAGCCTTAAGTTATTAAATTTCACGCTCATGTGCGTGTCATCGGTTTTGCTATACGAACTTAATGCCAGCGTAAGCTAATAATATTGTGAATACTGACGTCTTAAGTGCAATTAAAGTCTTAAGGCATTTTTACATATTTTTTTACCGTAATGTGGTATCAAGTATTAACAAAACTTTTAGATTATTGAAACATAGTTTAGGCACTTTTAGTTTGATTGAAGGCACATATGTTGTTTATTATAAAAAATAGAAAAAATTAAATGGAGCATGTTATTCAAATCTCAATCAAAATATAGCTTTTTGAAATAAATCTAATAGGATCGATTCTATAATAAGATATTATGACGTCATTCACAATTGATAGAGCTGTCTCTAAATTACTTACATTCGGTGTCTGAATTGAGTATTCATATTTAAGCACATCGCAAACTGTACTTTAACGTCACATAAATAGCTTTTAGCTTCTGATTTAAGTTTTTTTTTATATCAGTTGATAACAGATTAATAAAAACTAGTACTTTTTAACATTTAAAAAGTAGAAAAACGTGAGTTATTAAGAATATTCAGTTGAGATTTTGTACTTTTCTCAATTCAGAAATAGGCTGTTAGTAATTGTGATCGTATAAAATGTCCAAAACTTCATAACTTTATATTTTATAATAGTTACAAGTATTGTAATATTTAGTTTGTAATGTAGGTCTTATATAACTCACCAATTTGTAATGTTGCCTTATAATAAACAAAAAAACGACATTGACAAAAAATAGTAAAACATAGCTAAAATATTTTTCTACGAAAATGGTTGTATTTTACATATAAGAAGGGTCGCGAAAGGTCCCAGTGATATTAAAAGAAAACATTTTCAAAGTAACCTAAAGATGAAGAGCAATCGCCTATCTTCAAATAGATTTAATAAAATCATGTGTATATATTTTGTGTTTATCATATATATATTATACTCGTACAATATTTATTAATGATATGACTTGTCTCTTAGAATCACAAATATATAACGAGGATTATACAAATACAAGATAAAGTATTATAGTTACAAAGAAGTGAGAAGGGTTTTAACATTATTAAATACTGTGAAAAAAATCTGGTCCTATAAAGACATTCTATTACATTTCAGATTACAACAGAAAAACAGAAAATAAAATGGAATCAAATAATATAAAGTAGGAAGAGCGCAGTGGCTATCGCGTACGGTCTGCGATGCGAAAGAATAGTAACTTTCGCAAGTGCCGGTCATAGGATGGGTGACCAAAAAATTATTATCTTGAGCCCCTCCGTGTTTCGGAAGGCACGTTCAGCTGTTGGTCCCAGTTGCGTCTGCAGTGATAACACTCATGAAACCAAACTGGGCCCGCCTGGTGTGTCTCACCGTTCTCCTCTCTCATTCTCCCAATTCAATTATATATTTCTATAAATACCATTGGAGACATTAATTCGCCGATAATGATCAATTAATATAAAGTAAACACTTCCGCAAACCAAAAAATCAAATCAATTTATTCGGTGCATACATACAGACATTTAACCATATTAATTAAATAGCTTCATAAATAAAAATAAAACAATAATAACATACAAATAATATACTCAACATTGGAATCAAAACTATCTCATATAACAGCACCAAACAGGAATCTAGCTCGCTATTTATCGATCTATTTTCTTTTAGATAGAGAACGATGCCGACTTTC